TAGAAAGTAACAACAAGGCTGTGAGGGAACTGTGTGGGGTATACCGACATGGTTGAAACAGTCTGCTACGTTGATATGGCACTTTGGTGTGTACCGGTAACCCTTGAGTTCAGTCAAGGAGAGTACGGGGCCTCCGCGTGGTGTCGTGAAGCATCAACTGACCTTAGGAACCTTAATTGAACTATCTTGGCCGCTTTAGGGTTGTGAGATAACTGACTTTGGTGCAGTCCGAGGTTGGTTGATACTCGATACTACACTCAATTGAGGGTTGCTTTCCTGGAATATTTCGGTCGCCAGTTCAGTGGCTAAATCGAAACGATGAACAATGAAAGCAATCCAGTGATATTGGGACCCTTAGAACCCGGTTACTTCTAATAGGACAGGCTGAGCCCACCAACTTCAAGAGGGTAATACCCAGACCCCATGCTGGCCTGAACTCTAAGGGTTTCTCTTGTGTGACTTGTGTGCCTTCCAACTTGACTACTTGCATGCTTGTTATCTGACACTTGAGTTTCTTGCAGGTTTTATTTAGTCCTTAATTAGGACTCATAACAGGGTTTACTGAGTTTGCTTGCAGGTTTTGTTTATAGTCCTTAATAAGGGCTCATAATAGGGTTTATCCATATTACCCCATGCATCATGACATCATACCATTGCATACATCCTAACCCATTTCAAGGATCTCAAGGGCTTGTGATGCAGGTCATGATGAATCAAACATCTAGCAAGGGGCAAAGAGGATTTATTTTCCTCTAGCCAAAGTTGTCAGAGGCTATGACCCACTGGATATGGTGAGCTTTGACACTTGAAGAAGGTTCCCCGAGCCAAGATTGTCAGGGGCTATGACCCACTGGATATGGTGAGCCTTTGACCCTTAAAGAAGGACTCTCTACAACATGAAGTTCCTTCAATCAAGCTACTGGGTCCCAATTCTAACAATTTTCTTGTTTATCCCGCGAGGTCCTTGAAAACATTACATGCATGTCATACACATCATTGCATGACAGGTACCCTTGTTGCAGATCACTTACCTTTCCCGCTGTTTATTTCAGCAATGGCTTCCCAACAAGATAACCAGGACCTCCTTGCTCAAGAGACTCGGCTCGGGGAAATCCTCCTGAATTTATCCAAGGGGCAGGAAGAGTTGAGGACACTTCTCACGGGGACTTTGGTCAGGAACAATGCTGAGGACGACAAGGACGAACGGCTGAAACGTCTACAAGCTGAGGTAGACACATTGAAAACCCATATGCTGGGGCAAAGGGCTCTCATCCAAAGTTTAGCTCAGGAACAAGGAGAGCTGAGGGCCATGATCAGTCAGCTTCATCAAGACATGAAGCAACCAGCCCAAGTCAGGGACCCGGTCATTAATCAACTTCCAAGAAGTCAAAGGTTAGGGCCTCTCCAAACTGCTACTACTTCACAGGTCCAACAACGACCTCGCCTAGAACAACGGACTGATCAGAGCAAACCAGATAAGCCTAAAAGGCAGTTCACCAAGCTCAACGTGTCACCGTCTCAAGCTTTACAACAATTGTTGAGGTTGAATCTGGTGACGTTAAGGGACCCTCATAAGAATCCCAACACAGCCTCCCCAAAATACAAGTCTAAGGAAAGATATGCATACCACTCTGGCAGTCCAGGCCATGACACCGACGACTGTTGGGCTCTGAAGAATAGGATCCAAGACCTGATCGAGGAAAGAGCTGTGGATTTCACCCAGATGGGCCAAGCTGAATGCTCCTGCCATCCCTATCGGATGCACCAGTTGAAGTAACAAGCCCTGAGATGAAAAGACTTTTGTTCATTAGGATTTTCAAGTTGTAATTTTCTTTTGTTCAAACATTTGCTCATGTTAAACGTTGTTATTTCATTAATGTATCGCATATGTCTGTTTTGAAGCAATATATTCGTATTCACTATATTTTTTCTGATGATCAACTCTCAATTATTAATTATAAGCCTCTTGAGGGAGGATGACGAAAACGATACCGCTATCTTTACAGTATGCTTTTGAACAGACCCCGCTGATGAGGTACAGGCATTGTTTCAATTCCTAAACACTGGAGTTATAAGGAAGATAATCCCTCGTCAACCCCTCTGAGCCAAAGAAGTAGGAGTTTTTTTTTCTTTTCGAAATTCAAAACCCTTAATCATAACCTGGGGCAGGGTAGTTCTCTCAGTTGATCCAAGTGCATAACGAATCGCACCAAAGAGGTCCTTACAAAAAAAAAAGAAGACAGTGATGGTTCCGAATAATCAATGAAGAAAGACAATCATTATATCTCAAAAATCAAAACCCAATAAGTCAAAACCTATGAAGGAGACTTACAAAACTGGGGCATCCCGCTGACTGTAACCACAAAAGAAATAGTTCAGACAAAATTTAGGGATGGCGAAATAAAAAAGAAAGAGGTCATACAAACCCTCAACAAAAACAAAAAAAATGACTGCCTATTCAGAATAAATCATCAATATCTGAACCATCGTCGGAAAATCAGAGCGAAGACTCAAGCAAGGTCTAACGCACAATCAGTTGAGTTTAGGTTTGGAGATCATCACGAAGAGCGGGTGGGTACAAATAATTTGAGCCTTAATCCTTTGTTTCTTAAACCGTGAACCAGACCACGTTATAACCCTTAAAAGTCCTAGCTGAAGCATGGGTTAGTTCGAAAGCATACTGTTACAAAGGTATCCCGACTCCTTAAGGCTTACGGTAAATACGGAGTTGACATCACGTTTTACAAACATTCATTTGTTTTATGAAAAAAGAATGCATTTTCAAAATCTTCAAGACGGACATAAGCTTTGCGTTTTTAACATAACTTTGGTCAGTGCAATAGGATATCCGTGAGAGACTTTCTTTTACTAAAAAGAATGAATGCATTTATTGTAGTTCTGTGATCGGTGGATCTGGAACTGACTGTTTAACGCTGGTTCGCGAAATGTCGCGGTAAGCAAGAGTCGCCACCGTCTTTTATTTTCTCCAAATGGAAAGGACAAAAGCACAGAAAAATTCCTTAAAGAGATTGCTCCCGGTTCGGGAGGTAGATTATAGAAAGGGAAGGTGTTAGCACCCTTTCTATCCACGGTTATCCATGGGCTCTTAGGTACTTGCTCATTTGTGTTTTCAAAATTGTTTGTTTGCTTTTCAACTGTGGGTTTTAAAAAGTTTCTTTGAAAATTTCAGTTCGACTCTTGTATCGGTCCTCAAGAGTGTTTGAAAAAATTGCTTTCGAAAGCTTTTTGAAAAGGTGTCGGTGTGAAAAGTATTTTTTTGATTTGTTTTGAAATTAGAGCAAGTATCTAGAGTCGTCTACCTACCCTAAGGAATTCGTCTGTGTAGATGTCCTTTAAAGTAGTGCCATCCCACCATTGAGAGGTAGGTAGCACCACCGTTGGAGGTGTTCGGGTCAATTCGAAGTTCGGGACATGGTGATCACCGGAGCAATAGGAAGATACCTTAGAAGCTACCCTCATGCCAGGTTCCCGGATCATGAGGACTTACTAAAACATCCTCTACTCGACGATCACCTTTCGAGAGGCAAGGCAACAGTGAGGCGTACCCTAGGGATGGTGTGTGATTTGTGTGTCAGATTCATTTATTTTTTGTCTTGACATGTATGGGTGATCTACGCTTTTGTTTTTATGTTATCATTCATTCTTGCATGCAATTTATTAGCAGTTAAAAAGTCGCGAGAAATATAAGTTCCTAAGCTATTACAAAGGCGCGGGTCCACATCGCCAAATTAAATTCCAGGACCCGATTTGACATAAAATAAAGGAAAGTGCGAGAAATATAAATTTACACGGCTTTGGGAGAATTACATTAATATTTAAAAGAAAGGAATAAGAATAAAATGCGCGAAGAGAATAAGAATCGGGAATGCGAGGGCGTTGGACCCTTTTTAACGAAATTAAATTATTATGAAAAAATTAATTAAAATAAAATAAAAAGAAATTATTTTTGAGGGGTTTTGGTATTTATGATTTTAATGAGAATTAAATGAAATTAAAATCTAATTTTAGCTATTTTTTTAATTTATTAAGAAAATATGAAAATTAAACCTAAAATTAAAACCTAATTAATTAATGCAATTTGATTTATAAAAATAAATAATTAATTATTAGTGATGAGAAAATAAAAGAAAAAGTAATTAAAGTAATTAAAACCTAATTCTACAAGTTTTTAATTTATTAAGAAAAGATATTAAAATTAACCCTAGAATTGAAAACTAAATTAAATGATATTATTTATTCACAAAAAATACTAAATCAAATATATTTATTTTTTGTCTTTTCTGATTTTTTACTATTTTTATATTTTATGAAAATAAATTGATTTAAAGAATTAAAAAAAAAGAAATAATTGAAACAAATAAAATAAAAAGGAAAAGAATTGCAAAAACCTTGGGGGGTTCTGTCCCCAATTGGAGGTCATATTGTGGCAATTAGGCCCAGTAATTTAAGGCCCTTTCTGACTTTTCATGGGAGCATGTGTATGCGTTGACTGCAACGTTCCATAGACCTTGATTCTGGACCATTGGATTGATGTCATAGGCCATGTGGCAAGCTGGATATGAGGCTACAGGATAGATCTTCAGACAAAGCGCTGCATGGAATCACGTTAGGAAGAAAAATATTGAAAGAATGTGGGGGACCTGGGAATCGAACCCAGGTCCCAATGCTTGCCAACACAACATCCCACCAACTGAGCTACTTCAACGCGCTGTATGTAAAACAAAGCATAAATAATATAAGCGAAAATTGATGTTAGTGGTTAGAAACAAAAAACGCGCGCTAGTTTCAAATCAACCAATAACAGCTTGCCACAGGGTCTTCTTCTTCTTCCTAGTGCACTAAGTTCCTTCTCTATTATTGTACCCTCATCGGCATCTCCTTACGCAGATTCAACAGCAGCTGGGTCGTGAGAGCTGAAAGACGTTCAAGCTCAAAGCTACAGGTTCTGTCATACTCGATTCTATTTCTTTCTACTCTAGAGTGACTGGCTTTCCTTTCGAGCAGACTAAGAAGAAGCCCACGTAGCGGTAGCAGCTACGACTTCTTCCTTCTGGGCTTACTTGCCAAGTACAATAGCAACGGATTATGTACCAGCAAACTAGATTTAACCGGGTGTTCCCTCTCCGTTCTAGCTTTCTAAATAAGTCAGATCGGTGCCCTTTATCTGAGAAGACTCCTAAATCAGTTAACTGGGTATGAGAAGGCCTCCCCTCTAGTCTATAGTAGCCCTTCTTCCTTTCGTTTGTGCATCTTTCTCTTTATCCCTTTTTGTTTGTTGGTCAACAACCACAAGTCAATAGAATGAATTCTGAACTATAAAGGAGAAGTGAACCGTTCAGGCAAGCGAAGCGGTTTGCTTTCTCTAGAAAGACTCTGCAAGGGAATTCTCCCTTTCTTTAATGGATTGGCTCACTACTGACTTACTATCTAGTTACTAGAAAGATTAAGGTACCGTACTGGTTGGTTTGCCCAGGACTGAGACCGACAAACTGCTTTCAACCGCTTTTCTAGGGGTGGAATGAACCTTTACTGCACTGCTAGCGTTTTAGAGCTTGAAATAATTAGCACTCATACGGATTGGACTTAAACCAACCGTGCTACTAGCCTTAAAAGAAAAGCTTGAACTCTCCCCCCCGAACCGCCCTATTACACCTAGGCTCATATGCTCTTCAAAAGGAAAATAGGTTTACTTTCTTTCATTTTGGTTACGGAAAGTTAAAGTAGTCAAGTTGACTCTAATCGCGTACGCCGAGCTTCGATGGATTGTTGTGTTAAGTCTCTTTTGTGAGATAACAGAGACAAGGAACCACAACCCCTTCGGGTAGGGCATAGGTGGCTACGGCGGAAAAACCCTGGATCTACAATACTTACTTCACGCTCTCTAGAAGCTCACTGCAGAGGAAGGTAAAGTGATTCTTCCTATAAAATCAAATCAAAGAAAATAAAGATATTGTTCACCGAAAGATAGGCAATTTATTGACTTAAAGAGCGGAAGGGAATACTGAACCACGCCTCGAGTCCCAGTCTCCTAGTGGTGGGATGGTAAAGGGCAATGTCCGGTTCTGGCCAAGAGATGTCTTTGCTCCGTCCCCCTTCTTGTTGGTTGGCACAAGCCCTTGTAGTAGTCAGCCTTTCCTCCCCGACGGTCTACACCAGGTATGAACTCGATTTAAACGGGGATCAGAGCAAAAAAGGCCCTTTTCCTTTTCTACTATGCTTTGAGCCGCTTCTAGGAATGGTAAGACTTGCCTTTGCCCTTACTCTATTAATAAGGAAATTCCCTGGTGTTCACTCTAGTTCCTAACTCATTTACGCTGTAGGCATAGAGCTATGGGAATGCTTTCATAGGCTAGGGGGGGATAACTCTTAATTAAGTAACTAAGCCCCAAGGCTAGCGAAGGAAAAGGAAGTTACATTAGGGCTACAACTCCTGACTCGAGGGTGAGAATTTGAATCGAATAGATTGAATCAGAAATGCACTGAGAGAGAGGCAGAATAACCGGAAGCCGGAAGAAGGGCTTTAGTTAGGCAGCGAATCTTCATTGAAGTGATGTTAGCTAGGTCCTTTCCTCGAGCCAGTCTTGAAGCAGGCAGGAAGTCTTTTACCAGGATACCCGCTTGAAAATGACGTAGAGAGAGTGTTCGAGAACGTCTCTGTGCGGTTTATCGGTTCCAAGTAGCGATGAAAGTAAAACCACTAGCACAGCGTGCAAACGTTGTTGCCATGTTTGATAGTTTGGCAAACTAGCTCCTGAGACCATAGAAGGGAGTCTTTGGTTGTGAACGTGATCGGAACCAGGCTAGTTGGCTCAGCAACATAGTTGTTTGGTAACAGGCAAGCACAAGGTAGTGTGGGGGATTAGAAAGCTCCTCTTATCTTTGAGATCATACGGGCGGACACTTGGTGCTGGTATAAAAAGGGCATATTCGAGTGCCCCGCCGCCAGCATCGCTCTTCTCTTCGAACAGAAGCAACTCTGTAGGGAGGAGAGCCTGCCGATCGAGCGAAGGGATCCATACGGCTTTCAGGGGGAGCTGCTTTTACAGCCTACTGGTATTTAAGTAACGGACGTGTTGAATGAATTTTTATGATGATTCATTCAATTCGTTCGCCGGGAAGTGCAAGCTTTGCGAACCAAAAAAGCCTGCCGATGAAACCCGTTCCCTCGTGCTTCCATTAATGACAGATACATCAGTAGAGGTCGGCCAAGCATGATCAAGGCAGGTGAGCCCTTCCCGCTAACCAAAGGCATAAATTGAGAGATACTTGGACCCGAAAGGACTGGACCCGTGGAAACAAAGTGATAATTCCCGCTCCGACCCGGGTAGACAACACCTGAGTTAACACTACGCAACTGAACTTAGAATGGGCCAGAACACCCCTATTGGGCGACAAAGTGGACCTTTACCCGAAGCGTAAAGCTGATTCTATGACGCTTCCAAGCCCACAAAGGAAAACGAAATAACGTATATAGATAGATATAGCTACTGAAGCAACTGTACAAAAACTTGTCCGGTGATCCGACGGTGCCGAGTAGAAGGGCTCTCGCCCAACGGAAATTCTTTAGGTGTTCCGTGAGAGGGGCCCTGGATGGAATTGGGTTCGAGTCCCATAGCCCCAATGTGTCGAAATATCATGATTGGGTCGACCAGACCAGGCCCGGATCTTTTTTCTTTTTTTCCGGTATGCCGCTCCGCGAGAATGGAGCGAAAGAACCAAGTGGTTTGTGGTAATGTCAGAATTTGCACCTATTTGTATCTATTTAGTGATCAGTCTGCTAGTTTCTTTGATCTTACTCGGTCTTCCTCGACTGTTCCACCTTTTCTATTCATTCCTAATAATTATTCCTTTACTTGGTGTGTTCTATTCTCTTTGTATGAAACTCGGCTCGATAGATTTATTTAATTCTCTACTATTTAAAATAGGGTTATCTCTTGGTAGTCGAGTCCTATCCTATGCTTTCTTCAAATTAGGCCTCGCGGGGGGGCTTGCCTGGGTTTTGTTAAACATTTTGCAGGCACTATTCAGTGCTGATGGGGGGGTCTCCATCGGGAATGGCATGATGCCTCACGGAGCTGCCGAATCCACCAATTCGGATTTGTTTACTTATACAAGCTATTTGGTGGAGGATTCGGGCAGTTCTGGGCATAGTAGAAGTACCTCAACGGTCAATCAACCGCTTCCGGGGGAACAAGCTATGCCTCCCGCTCTTCCTGTTATGCAGGAAGCTGCTAATCAAGCAGCCCCTGTCCCCTATCCCTACCCCCACGATGAAATTATAGGGGGGGATAGTGTGGAATCCATCCAACGAAGGCTTTTGGGGGATCCCCCTCTCCTTCTGCCCATTTAATTCAAATGGCCCGGATTCAAGCCGAAGACCTATTCGAGGTCAAGGTCGATATCTGTCAGGTCATGGCGAGCCTTCACCCAAGTGGAGATTGGATGGGACGGGGTACGCGCGCCCTCGACAATCCTCGTACCTTCACGGGCGAGGATTCCCTCGAAAACCTTGCTAGACTAAGGGATGGAGTTGTGAGCGGGGACGCCACAACAATCACAACTTTAAAGCAACGTATGCTTTGGCACTGATCCGGTGGCGACACCGAATCCCACGCATAAGCCACAGCTCCTTCCCTGCTCTGCTCTTGCTCTCGTGTACAACAACCTTAACCGCACAAGCCTGAGCTGGGCCTACCTCCATCCTTAGAGGAGTCGTATGAGGCGGAAGCTCCACGTACGGTTTTGAAGCCGAGCCTTTCCAGCAATGGGGCCTAGGGACCGATATGATGATTGGTTTAGGTAGGGCGGTCGGCCTACTACGGGCACCTGTAGGGATTAGTGCGTGAGACCGCGATCCACAAATTGACGCATGGGACTCACCCTTTACTCGGGAATGAAGAGGGGAAACATAGCATGTCACAAGAGCGAGGCGAGGTTTGGAACCCTACTGCGAGAGGGACGCCTCGCGAGTCGGGCTTCTAGAGATGAGGCCTTTTGGCGAAGCCAAGTCAATTTCGGGCCACCAAACCCTGCAACTGATGATAAGGCCTATGGAGTAAAGGGAAGCGTGTACGTTGTCACACTCCCTGCCTTCAAAAGGTGCCTAGAGGACAGGCCATAAGACGCAAGCGACGACCCGGGAGCGGATCCCCCACCGGCAGGGGGACAGGAGACGGCCATCTCGAGGCACATCACGACCTACAGGCAAGACCGGCGAGACCAGGGAAGGCAACCCGATTGGGAGTCAGAGGATCCATAGTACCTGCAGCCCCGCGGACTTCATCATCATAATTTTTGAAAGCGGGGGGAAGGGATCTCCTTTCTGCAACGGAAAAAAACGGAGCAGATTTTACTCGGCACAACCTAACGATGCATCCAATACCAATGATCTGTGCCTATAATGCATTGCTAGATCTCTGCTCTATAAAGCTATCCAGGCAACAACAAAGGCGGTTTGCCCCGGGGCTTCCCTTTCATTACTTCTTTCACGACGAGGGAACCACGCCCGCATCAGTCGAAGTGGTGAAAAGGTAGGGCACTATCCTTGCGGCAGTACCGCTCCCATCTACTAAGTATCTACCGGTTGGGTACCCGAGACACACGGGCCTTCCAACGTCTTATGACGACGGTAAGAAACTATGATCTATGGCTCTAGGAAGAGGTCCGAGTAGAGGTGGGTAGAGGCACTGGGTGGGACCGAGAGCAAGAAAGGACGGGGGGCAACCAACCTGCCTGTTGAATATCGTAACGTTTGTGACTCAGTGCTCCATACGGTAAAATGAAAACTAAATTCGTTCGTCCCACATGTTCAATATTTTTTTAGCGGTTTCCCCAGAGATCTTTATCATTAATGCAACCTCCATTTTGCTCATTCATGGAGTTGTATTTAGTACCTCTAAGAAATATGATTATCCACCGTTAGTCAGTAATGTGGGTTGGCTTGGATTACTTAGTGTTTCGCGCCTAGGAGGGCAGCGCGCTTTGGGATGCGGAGGAGCGAAGCAGCTCGAACGAATGAATATGAGAGGAGCGAAAAAAGCCCAGCTCCCTAACCTAATGCGGCACCGGGTTCGGACCGTAGGGAACCGTAGCATGGGAGGATGTCTAATCCTTTTGCAGCCGCAAGGCTGGCTAATCGTACGCAGCTGGCTCGAATACCCCTGGTTCTGGAAGGCACATGAGTCCGAACGCTATGTTGAATGTGCGACCGACACTACACTACGTAGGTACCTGTGCAGGTGAGGCGTCAGTCGGTCCTAGAAACGGCGGCAGCGGCGCGAGGAGTTAACGACCGGACATGCTGCAACCTAGGGATCACCAGGCAGCTCTTTCGCTCTATAGGGATCGGGAGGGCATAGCACAATTCTTCTTGGAGGAGGGTTGGTTTTCCCGGGTGACTGATCCTGCCATAATGTACTCCTACCTACACGCACCGGCAACCGAAGTCGAGCATACATACGACGATCTTCATGCGTGAATAGCCGGGAGGAAATAAGGGCGGTAGATGATAATGAAAAAAGGCGCCGCGTCTGGACGGGCGGGCGGAATGGATGAGCGAAAGGTGCCATGGAGTAAGGAATACCCCGAGTCTCATGTAAGACAACTAAATGCACCTCGAGGTGATGCCGAGGAACTGGGGGACCTTCTCGAGCACAGGATAGGAAATTGAGAGATAGAGCTAGCCTATTCGTTATGGGGAATCAATGCTCCGGGCCGAAAATAATAGAGCTTACCTCCGGCACCAGGCTTTATCCGGCGCATATTAGCTTAGCTGCGCTTAATAGGCCGGCTTCCTCTCTGGCGGCCACTTACCTTACCCATGCTACACTCCCACTCCAAGCTACGCCTGCTGAGCAAGATGCATTGCAATTTAATCTTCTGTGGACGCACCGGAATATTCTCCAGGACGAGAAGATAAATACTTTTATGGCGGGCTTTCTCTCGTAAAGCCAAAGACGCCCCAAGACAAGGGGGAAGGGGACATAATCAATAGAACCTGGCTGGGCCCATTCCTAACCTGTTTCGAAAAGGTTCGCTCATGCTGGAGGGAGCATCCCCACTTAGTGATCAGTCCGCTAGTTCGCGCAAATCCGAATAAGTTATCACGAACGAGCCATATGCAGGGAAACTTGCACGTGTTGTTCTGGCTGGGCTTTCCTGAGGTATCTAATAACCTTGCTTCTGCTCGCCGCTGGCGCACCTCTCCTAACTATTGCCCATTTATTCCGGAATAATCTTTTTAGGAGGGACAATTTTACATATTTCTGCCAAATCCTTCTATTATTAAGTACAGCTGGTACCATTTCGATGTGTTTCGATTCTTTCGAACAAGAGAGGTTTGATGCTTTTGAATTCATTGTATTAATTCCACTTCCTACTCGCAGTATGCTCTTTATGATCTCGGCTCATGATTCAATTGCCATGTATTTAGCTATTGAGCCTCAAAGTTTATGTTTTTATGTGATGGCAGCATCAAAAAGAAAGTCTGAATTTTCCACGGAAGCCGGCTCGAAATATTTGATCTTAGGTGCATTTTCCTCTGGAATCTTACTGTTTGGGTACGACCGGACAACTACCGATATCTAAAAATCTCCTTTCTTAGCTTAGAATGTTGTTGTTAAATATATATCGTAAACTATCAGATCGGGTATTACTTAGATGTGAAACTTGCAGACCTCATTGGTGATCTTACGGGGGGGAACAAAATATAAAAGAATATATAGACTTGTAGAGACCCTCTATGTAGTTGTCTATCTGAGGCGATCGATCTACATCTTTCCTCATAGCCCTGGGGCTGTGTCTCGATCTCCTACGTGCGAAATCTGAGGGACTAGTTCCTATGGAGATTCCCCTTGGTCTAATTCCACGCCTTATGACGAAAGGAGAGTCGGCGTGGCGTAAAGTGAAGATTGAGGGAAATAGAGATAAATTACCTTCTGGGGTATTCCGAAGGTGTAACCTAGGCAACGAAAGAAAAAGGGGCCCGAGACTTCAACTAGAGGAGCGACCAGTTGGTTCACCAAACCCCGACCCAGCGTCACGCGTTCTCCAGGTCCGAAGGGATCCAGTGCCCAACTACCAACTCCTTCCGGAATTGCGTTATCGGAGCCGAGCCAGGAATGGCCGTTAGTGGACACCCACCACTTTTCACCGGTTAGAGAGGCCCTCTTTAATACATTAAGAAAAGATGTTCACAGGGGCCAGAAAGACTCGGTCATAGGAACTTAGACCGCCTACGCGCTGGTAAACGAAAACCACCTCGACCGGATCAGAGTAAACAACAATGGCGAATCAGGCCGCCCCTAGCCTTGAAAGAATTCACAGGCGGCCACCAGCTTTAAAAAATGAAATAAATAAGGGGAGATCTGCTGCTTACTGCTCACGGAAACATCCGACCTATACTATAGTAAAGTCGTCCGCCTATCTTTCTGATCTCTCTTCCTTCTATTTATCATATTTTTGGCTTTGACCAATTCAAGGTGAAAAAAAATGGGGTTGGCTAAAGCTAAAAAAGGGGAAGAGAGGATAGCTTTGGGGTACGCTCACTTCTGCATTTTTTTTAGGTTATCGAGATTATAAATAGCTCTTTTTAGTGGGGAGGAATAGTGCGTGAATGGCGGTTCTCAGACGAGGGAATCGTTCCTCTCTAAAAAAAAAAGATAGGCTAGAATGAATGCTTCTATCGATAGAGCTTTCACGTCTGCATATAGAATCGTTTTTTTGCCTTTCCATTCCGTTCTTACTATATCATGGGTTGTTGGGTTGGAATCCGTGTGATGGTTCGAGAGTAAAATATTCTTCGCATCCATCTTCGGCCTTGTGTTAGAAATGTCCCGCGGGACTTAGTTAGTGGTCGAGTCGTTTTTGGTAATTGACACCCGTCGCATTAGTTTCAATTCATATGTTACCATTCATAGTGAAGTAGCCCTCTTTTTGATGTCTTAGTGCCTTATTCTATCTATCAAAGTCCTTCTTTGTCTATAGCTCGGGTCAGTCCCCCATGTTCTGCTTTGATTTTATCGAACAGTGCCGGCCCGCATCAGGGACTCTCGTGCGAGCCATACAACGTTCCCAGGCAGGAACTGCTCCTTTCCTTGAGCTCCCTATTTAGTTCCTCCCATCCCAGCCAGGCGTTGATCTCGCAACGGCCCTCCAGCATGTCCTCATATCGCGTCCGTCACCACAGCAGCGCATCCCCAGATAGATACTAGCCATTGTGACTTGGTCGTAAAAAGGGGCACAAACAGAAAGTACTATTCCATATCCAAAAAGTTAGTCTTCGATCCTTAGCATCTCGGGTGCCAACGAATGCCTTTGGTTTCGCTTGATTCGAACCATCTCCGTCGAGCC